AAACTTCTTTACTCAGCAGCTCAACTTATTTTATATTCCATCAGCAGTGCCTAAGAGTTCTGATTTCTCTATATCCTCATCAAAACTTTTATTTTCTGCTTCGTTTTTTTCCTCTAGTTGACAAGAGGCACATATGCAGTTTGACCAGCGATGGACAGAATGAGAGGAGAGAGAGAGAGAAAGTGAGAAAGCAAGCCACTAGGTTCGAGACTTGAACCACGTTCGGTCATGTGGGAGTCCAGCACCATGCCACCTGCCAGCCCCCTTTTGTTTGTTTGTTTCTAATTTGCTATCGGGCACTTGTGCTCACCAGAGAGAGAGAGAAAGAAATAACGCACCTCTTAGGGAGAACATTCTCCCTAAATAAATAAATATAATTCTTTTAAAAAACAAAATACTGGGGCCAGCAGGCGGCATGGTGGTTAAGGGTGCTGGACTCCCACATGGCTGACCGCAGTTTGAGTCCTAAACCTGGAGGCTTGCTTTCTCACTTTCCCTCTCCCTCACTCTGTCCCTCTCTGGTCAAATTAAAATAAAGTTAAATAAAATAATTATTTAAAAAACAACAACAAAACAAAACCCTGATCAGTTTTCTTACATTGAACTATCCTAGAATTCCAGGACTAGATTCCATTTAATCATACTGTATAATCTTTTTACTGTGCCGCCGAATTCCATTTCCTGGTGGTTTTTTTTTTTTTGGTTTTTTTTTTTGGGAGAGGTTTTTGCTATAGGGCACGTGCGCTCGCCAGACAGACAGAGAGAGACATAGAGACAGAAAGCGAGAAATCACCCCCCAGGGGGGATGGTCACGCCGCAATGCTCACCTTCCACCGTCTGCAGCCCGGAGTGCACACACCTGGCTGCACTGGTGGCCCGGCCCCCCACCCTGGCGGGCACTTGGGCACTTGCTATTTAAAGCCAGGTGGCATCGCACAGGCCCCCAGTCTGCAGCTCCCGTTCTCCACGCGTTCGTTGTGTTAGTACAGTTCCTTCATCTTAGAGTCACCTGGCATGTAAGTTTGCTGCCTCCGTTCTTTTTGGCGTAAAGTGTACTGTTTCAGCCATTTTTGAGTATATGATTAGTAGTGTTAAGGTTAAGTATATTTACACAGTTGTGCAGCCATCACCACCCTCCACCTCCCGAACTTTTTTACCTTCTCAGAATGAAATTCTGGGGCCAGCAGGTGACTTGGTGGCTAAGGCTCAGGATTCTACAAGACTGACACTCCAGTTCAAGTCCTGAGCCCTGAAGCTTGAAACTCAGACCAAGCGTGTGTACGCACACACCGCAGAGTCCCTAGAGGAAAATGGAGGAGAAGGGATTGTGGTGTGGCTGTCCGCCCAGGGAAAGTGATTTTTCACTTTCCCTCTCTGTCGGTCTCCAGCTAGCACACGTGCTCTATAGCAAAAAAAAAACCAAAAAAACAAGCTTTGTTCCATTAAGCACCTAGACCCCATTCCTCCAGCACCCACCACTCTGCCTTTATTTTTCCCCCCACTACTCCACAAACCTCATGTGAACAGAATCATTCAGTATTTGTCTTTTTGTGACTGGCTTATGCTTATTGCATTTAATATGTCTTCAGGGTTCATCCATGGTTTATCTTGTGTCAAAATGTTGTGTTTAAGGGGAACCACATGTAGCATGGTAGTTAAGGTGCAGGATTCTGACATGGCCAACTGCAGTTCAAGTCTCATACCCAGAAGTGTAAAAGATCATGGAAGAGAAGGGATTATGGTGTAGCCATCCTCCCTGAGGGGTGATTTCTCACGTCCCCTCTGTCTGTCTCCCTGTCTCTCTCCAGCAAGTGCATGCTGCCCTATGGCAAAAAAAAAAAAAGCTAAAAAAAAATTTTTTTTTCAATTTCCTGTTTAAGACTGAATAGTTCTCCCCATCATATGGATGGGTTGCTTTTTCAGCTGTTGGTGTATGTTTGTGCTCTTCCAGCTTTTAGCTATTGTGGATAGTGCTGCTCAGAATGTCAGAGCAAATATCTCTTTAGTCTTGGATTTCAGTTCTTTTGTATGTATAACTAGGAGGATACTCTCTGGGCCACTTGATAATTCTGTGTAATGTTGTGAGGGACCATCAAACTGCTTTTCTCAGCATCTCAACTTATTTTATATTCCATCAGCAGTGCCTAAGAGTTCTGATTTCTCTATATTCTCATCAAAACTTTTATTTTCTGCTTCGTTTTTTTCCTCTAGTTGACAAGAGGCACATATGCAGTTTGACCAGCGATGGACAGAATGAGAGGAGAGAGAGAGAGAAAGTGAGAAAGCAAGCCACTAGGTTCGAGACTTGAACCACGTTCGGTCATGTGGGAGTCCAGCACCATGCCACCTGCCAGCCCCCTTTTGTTTGTTTGTTTCTAATTTGCTATCGGGCACTTGTGCTCACCAGAGAGAGAGAGAAAGAAATAACGCACCTCTTAGGGAGAACATTCTCCCTAAATAAATAAATATAATTCTTTTAAAAAACAAAATACTGGGGCCAGCAGGCGGCATGGTGGTTAAGGGTGCTGGACTCCCACATGGCTGACGGCAGTTTGAGTCCTAACCCTGGAGGCTTGCTTTCTCGCTTTCCCTCTCCCTCACTCTGTCCCTCTCTGGTCAAATTAAAATAAAGTTAAATAAAATAATTATTTAAAAAACAACAACAAAACAAAACCCTGATCAGTTTTCTTACATTGAACTATCCTAGAATTCCAGGACTAGATTCCATTTAATCATACTGTATAATCTTTTTACTGTGCCGCCGAATTCCATTTCCTGGTGGTTTTTTTTTTTTTGGTTTTTTTTTTTGGGAGAGGTTTTTGCTATAGGGCACGTGCGCTCGCCAGACAGACAGAGAGAGACATAGAGACAGAAAGCGAGAAATCACCCCCCAGGGGGGATGGTCACGCCGCAATCCCTTCTCCTCTTGGAATCTTGGGCACGCATGTACATGCGCCCGGCATGATTTTTAAGCCACCGGGTCCGGGACATGAACCGTGGTTGACTACGTGAGAGTCCAGCAACATAGCCATTACGCTAACTGCTGGTTCCCAAGTCTTTTTTTTTTTTTGAATATTTTTATGATAGTGTTCATTAGAGGTACTGGCCTATAGGTTTCCTTTTCTTTCTGGTCTCTTTGGCTTTGGTTGTCAGGGTAATGCTGACCCTCATAGAATAAGTGAGGAAGCTTCCCCTTCCCTTTGATTTCTGGCAGTTTGAGGAGTGAGGCTAATTCTCGCAACATTGGGTGAACTCATCAGTGAAGTTTTCAGTTCAGGGCTTGCCTTTGACTCTCTTGAAATAAGGTTGGTTCTGCAGGGAGGTCGTGAGCACTATGTGCCCCTCGGCCCTCGTCGTGCCGTGGCCGCTGTGTCTGTGGCAGGTCCGTGCATCGCTGTTGACCACCTTGGTCTTGGTCACCCTGGGATCCCATCCAAGATACACACCACTCACATACCTGGTGCCTGGCCACATGCCTCCTGTGCTGGGCTGGATGGGACAGTGGCTGGTGGCCCTCTCCACCCATTCCAGGCCTAGTGCAGCTTCCCGTCAAGACCAGCCCCTGCCCCCACCCTCAGCTCACACTTGCCGTCCAGCTGCAGGGTCAGTGTCTGTTCCCTCAGTCCGTTACTGTGAGGAGGTGGACAGAGGGTGTGTCCTACTCTAGGTGGTGGGACAGACTGCTCGAGGGGTCAGGCAGCACGTGGTTTTTGCCATGGCAGACTCTGTCAAAGCGACAGTGTCGTGGGAGGATGTGGTGTGCTGCCCCAGCTCCTCATGAGATGAGTCAGTAAAGGCCAGCGTCCTCTGCCTGGGGCTGCCCTGTGTCCCCTCCCAACATCCTGGCTCCCAGCACCCCTCAGGAGTCCTCGCATCGCTCTTTGATGCTTTTCTGAACCTGCGCTACAAGCAGGTTTCATCCTCCCTCCATGCCCTTGGCCACGCATGGGATGGCTGTGTCCCAAAGACAAGGCCACCTGGGAGAGTGGGTGGTAGTCCCAGACAGAGGCGCTGGGTGCTGGGTTACCTGAGGGATATGACTTGACTGGCTCCAACCCCTGCTTGCTGGACACTAAGTGCTTCCTCTGGGAGCATAGGAAGCAAGGAGAGAGACCCCCATCATCTAGGAGGGGGATGTGGGAGCGCTGACTGCAGGTGACCACACGGGGGCCTGATAAGCAAAACCTCTGTGCTCCTGCCCGATGTGCCACTGAAGTTGGGGCAGCCCCGGAAGCAGCAGCTGCTTCTGTTTTGGAGGCCCGTGAGCCAGGGGGCCAGCTTGGCTTGGGGGCTGCCATGTGACCCCATCTTTGTGCTTGAGGCCCCAGGGAGCTCTGCATAGTGGTGCTGTTTTTATTATTAATACTTGATTTGCTATAGGGCGTGAGCACTCTCTAGAGAGGGGGCCAGTGAGAAAGCACCCCCAGAGGGAAATGGTCCCTTCTCTGTCTCTTCACTTGCCTTGTCAGGCCATGGACCTCCTTTCTGGACTTGGCACATGCGCACACGTGCCTGGCTGGGTCAAGCTGCTGGGTCCAGGCTTGAGCCTCGCAGTCGACCACATGCGATCAGCTACCTCAGCTAGCACGCTGACCCTGGGCTTCCTTTGCTTAGAAAGTCGTTGAGAAACTCAGTGGAGCTCACAGCAGGCGACGCCCCGGGCCCACGGGGCTACAGGCCTGCGTATGTGCAGTGTGCGCCCCCTGCGTGTGTGCAGTGTGCGCCCTCGTTCCTCCCTTCCCGGGGCCGCCTTCAGGTCCAGCCCCTGGGGGTGACCTCCCTCAGCAACCTCTTTCCTTGTCAGGCCATGGCGTACGCCTCTGAGGATGGGGTCCTCACCGAGGCCATGGTGGACACCCGCGTGCAGGACGCCATCCAGCAGCACCGGCAGAAGATGCAGTGGCTGAAGGCAGAGGGACCCCAGTCCCAGGGCAGTCAGACCCCACCTCCCTGAGCCCATGGGCCTGCACGTCTCGGACACACCAGCCCGTCCTTTGTCCTGTCGGTACTTCTCAGTTCTCCCCTGGGCGGGACCAGGGCTGCAGTGACGGCCTCTGTGCAGCTGTGGGTGTCCCTGTGCTGGGGCTGGGTCCTCGGCTCCCCAGTCCATACCCTGTCATCCCCCCACACACTGTGGCCTCCTTCCCATTGCCTCAGGACATTCTGGAGCCGTGTCTCCAATCCCAGCTGAGAGAGGAGAAGCCAGCACTGTGCCCCCCAAGGTGGACTGCTGCAGCCATGACCAGCAGGACTGGGGGCTTGACCAGTCCTTGTTCTCAGCTCCTGAAGAACCGGGCATGGGGTGTGGGCGTGCCAGGACCAGACCCAGGGGTAAGGATCCCTGCACTGTCCACTGCTGTGTCCTGCATGTCCCCACCCTGTGCACTTTAGGGCTGGGATGGAGCTGAGCGTGTGCCCAGCCCTGCCGGCTGGCCAGTGATGTCTGGCACCTGTTGACTGTACCAGCCCAGAGGAGCTGCCCGTTCTCCTCATGATTGGAGTTGGGAGTCTTTTTATCCAGTCTAATAAAACAGACACGAGACCTTAACACGTGTGTATCTCATGGCTGACGTAAGGGGCCGGGGCTTGAAGGGGGCCCCTCTGCAGCCCCCTGGTGTCAGGTGACATAAGAGGCAGAGGCTGGAGCTTTCTGGAGAATTTACTGACCACGGCAGGGGTGAGCTTCACAACAGGGCACCAACCAGGGACACTGGGGGCCTCAGCGGGGCTCAGGGCCTTATTGCTGCTGAGGATCCCGCCCCTCCACTCCCCACCCCTGTGGTTGCGCACACGCCCCATGCACATGCTCCCGTGTGCAGATGGGCGCTGGCCCTCGGCGCCTCCCTCCCCTCCAACAGAGCTGGCTCTGAGACGCAGACAGACAGACAGACACAGTGCACAGGAAACAGACACAGCGGCTTTCAATCAGACGTGGTCCCAGGCCAGGCGGGGCCTGTACCCGCCTGCCCTCACTGAGGACCGGCAACCCCTGGCCCCCAGCACCTCTGGGGCAGAGTCTGTCCTTATGGCCTGCCCTGCCAGGGAGGCCAGGGTCCTGCCATCCAGGCCCAGGGGCCTCCCTTACCCAGCCCCCACCCAACCCCCTTTATAAAAAGAAGAGGAGACAGCACCTTCCACTGGACTCGTCCGGCGGCCACAGCCCAGCCGGCCATAGCCCCTGACCCTTGGCCCAAGGCTTCTGTTCAGTCC